AGGAGGAGGAGGAGGCGGAGGAGGTGCAGGTGGGACAGCTCATCGCAAACAAGGTGTGGGCCTTCGTCAAGAGCCGCAGCCTCCGATGGAACATCTTCCCCGAAGCGGACGTCGTGCTGTCCGCCAGCCCCGACAACGAAGGCGCGCTCAACCTGGGGCTGTCCATGCGCGCCGGCAAGGCCGTCGAGATGGGTGAGTCACGTGGTTCCGTACAGCGCTCATTGCAAGAGTGGCATTGACAAACTGTGCTTGAGAGAGAACATCATTTTTAACTTTAATATTATTTACCGAAATTCGATTATGAACTTTTTAAAACAATAAAGTCAAAAACCATTATAGTTTCGGTCTCTGAGAGAAATGTGATGAACTTCTCTCACAGACCGAAACTATTGGACTCTGAGCAATGTGATCAACTTTTCGGCCGCCATATTGGAGCCTTCGTCAGGGCGTAAAGCTTATTTTGTCGTGATGAAGGAATTTGTCTATAAATAAAAATTTCGTTTTTTGAGTAAATAACGACACTCGTGGAGAAGTTCTGTAAATTTGAGAAAAGATGTACACTTGGACTCGCTGTCTAAACTGCAAATTGCTTCGTAGAAAAAGGATATCTATGAATCTTTCATTCACCGATATTGTCTACGCCACTGCTTTGCGAGTGAATCTGTGCTAAGAATGGTAGGAAAATTATTTCCCCGAGATATTAAACAAATTATTATCTACTTTGCATTAGTTTGCGTATTAGTTCATTCATATCTGATGCTTTATACGAGTTCTAAATTGCAATTTATTCTGATACAGCGTCTAATTTTATACATGGATTTTGATAAATTTTAAATGATAATTTCTCCAATTTCACCATTTTACGAATCATGAGACCCAATTACCCAAGTTCTTTTTTTCCTGATAGACAATTCAATAACTAAAAATAATTCATTTATTGCATACAAATATAGAGTATACGTGTTATTTTATGACAGTTATAAAATAACGGACGAAACATATTCCATACATTTTTTGAAATCAAAAATGAGAAAAATAAAATATTCTTTCTCATTCTGACGATTCGCACTTGCACGCTACAGAATATATAAAATGTAATATGAAACAGAAATATCTTGTCTTGTGAAGCTATTTTGTCTCTATTCTTCTATGTTTTAGACATTTGACATTTGACAATCATACTTTAAACTATCAACATCTTTCAAATTTCACATTTTTGTAAGTTTGTGGAATGTTTCTAGCACAAATTGATTCTAGGGTGTTTTGCTGTGTAAATAACAAGGGTTTTAGTTTTATGTATTTCCAGTGAATAATATGTATTTTGCATTAAACATGGAGGTAAAGGATGGAGTATCGTAACTGCATAAATAACATTGCAAACGGCGTTTAACGCTACCCTTTCAACGTAACATGCGTGTCAAAACGCAAAAGAATAGTCCGAAAATTGGTATGTTTATAGCGCCTCTGTAAGAAGGAGCCCTTTCAACCTCAACGGTAAATGCTTCATCACGATGCTGCGCCTTCGCCTGGATGCGCCTTACGCGGAGCGAATGATCGCAGCCAATCATCAATTTACTAAACGGCTGTTGCGAAAATTACTTCTGTTACCGCCCTCCCGTTTTATTAAGCCGTACATACCATGTTCAAAAGATGAGATACACAGTTCCTCGCATTCGTTCCAAAGTAAATGTCCCGCGGCGAAGATAACAATGAGAAATAAGAGACGGGGAGATGGGTTTGATTCGTCCTATATCGTAAAAGAAAAGATTTAACGATGAATATTTCTAATCAGGTGTATTTACATACGTAAATCATCACTTTGTTTAGTCGGGAGTAAGTTAGGTTGTAGCAAGTCCAGACGTCATTGTATTTTATTTCGACTAACCTTGGATCACGTACCACTGATCCCAAAATTGTTGTTTTTACATAGACATATTTTTCCCAATCAATCATGAGGGTGGAAACTCAAAATTTTTCTACAAGAGAAATTTGCTTATAGAGAGGTCTTGAAATGAACTGCGGTAGCCAGCCATAGCGAAGAATTATGGAACATAAAACGGTGTTTTTAAAAAGTGAATAGACGAGCACAAACAGCCATGCTCTTCAGGTGCGGCGAGAACTCACTACCCTTTGAATGATGGTAGTAAAGCAACGTAGATCGGCGATCTCTTTAGTTTTTATTATTTCCATTTATTTTGAGAGAACGATGACACACACCAAGACGGCATCCTTAGGCGCCACTAGCTGTACCTATATCCCTGGCCGCATCGGATCTCACGCACGGCAAGGAATGCGGGAAGGAGTGGGGGCGCGGAGGGGCGGGGACCGGTTTGTAGCAACGAGCAAAGGCCTCAGCCCCCCCCCCGCTCTTTTTCTTCCGGGCCCACGTTCCTTTCACTATCTTCCCCGCATTGTCGCGCAGGTGCCGCGTGGTTGGGTTGCGCCTGTCGTGATTGCTTTCGGCTGCCCGGGTGACGATTTGTCAAAGTTTCAGACATTCAATTGTTTTTTTTTAGACGAAGTACCAAACTGGGTGCGCATTTCCAAGTATTTGCTCAAACGGCGAAATGTGCATTTTGGACCTGAAGACTTCTACGATTAGATGACAAAAACAGCTTATGACGCGGGTTTGTCCGAATAGAACAGAATTGTCACGTGACTCCGGTAACAGCTACTGATTCGCGTTCGTAGGGATTCCCCAGTTGTCCCTCTCACTCTACCTACCGGTTACGTTGCCGATTAGTAGAAGGCGATTCGTATGTTTTGTCAACACTTTCTTTTCTACATGTTTCACTGCGATCGAGCGTCACTTATTCGTCAAGACATGATCTGTCAATCTAGGTCTTCAACACGAATACTGTTCATATATTTGAATACATTTATATCAATGATAAATTTGGCATTTTACTTGTTTTTTTTCAACTGGCGAATATTTATTCTGGTTTTACCTCTATTCTAATTCTTATTTTTTAACACTACACAAAAATATTTTTATTATATCTCCGTTTTTTAAATTTTGCACCAAAGCTTTTTCATAATATTTTGTTTTTATTCTTAAATTCCTTGATACACACCCGAATTTACGAAAGTAGTTCTAGGATCATGTGTTATTCATAAGCCAATTAGCAGGCCATCTTTATACAAGGTCAAGACAGATTAAGTATTTGATGGATAGATAGTATGGTGTACATATATAGTAAAGTATGGCCAAGTCTGGTAATTAAAGCAGTAATATAGAAATGTATACATTGTTGACTACTTTTATCATTATTTGTAGCAATGCCAAAAGATCTAAGACAGTGCCAAAAAATGAATTAAAATTCTTTTCAGTAGTAACGAGCTACAGTAAGACAGGTAAATTAACAGTGTACCTCTATAGAGCGAGGTTGACAGTTTAATAACCAGTCAGCATAACGCCTCCGTTAAGCTGCGAATTTAAGAAAACATGCCATACAGACAGGTGTCAAGCAGATTCAGTTACATGACGTGAAGATAGAAAGCAGATACAGTGAATTACACGACCGACATTCCGCGAGATAGGAAGGCCGACAACTCATACTGACAGTTGCAAACTACGTGACGGCCACGAGGGCTTTGAGGCTAGTACACAGGAAGGACATAAAGCAGTCCAGTTCTTTACATCCTTCCTAGCCTCACAGATTTCGGAACCTATTCGCATCACGTGGCCAGCGGAGGGGGTTAATAAACACATCCGACTAGTGCCACGCCGCCAAGGGGTGCTTCGGTCGGCGGACAGCGAGTGGGCGGGCGGGCAAATGGGCGGTGGGGATGGAGGGTGGGGGC